GCAGAGGTAAAACTAGAAGTACTAGTGACAAATAAACTAACTATAATAATCCTACGCTAATTCAATTCAGTCTTAGAAAGTAAAGTTTTAGTTTCTTTTTAAAGTCAGTGGTGGTAACTGGCTGTTACGGACAGTCAAGGGAATATCAGTGGGATATCCTTGGCCAAATAATTGGGGCTTGAGAACTAATAGCAAATTGATACCTGAGGGACATTTTATGCAAGTTGAACGAGAACGAGTTAGTTAACCATGAAAATCACAATTAAAGTGGAGGAGCACTAACGAAAGAGAGGCAGGTGGAAGGCTATTAAAGTCAGTGAGAATACCAGGGAAATAATAAAAAGCTTCGAGACTAGGAGGCTTAGAACGTGTTCGTGGAGGCGAAAAGGTGATAATTCGCGCTCGAGAGAGAAAAGAAGAAAGGTCTCAAGGTCATGTTTCACATTACATTAAGGGCTTATGAGTTGTGTTTTGCCTCTCGGACGCTAATTTTTAACTGAATCGATCGTTTTTTCGGTCAGCATTTGTGAAATAGCGTACACAGTCTCTCAAGAGACAATCCACGGACTCCAACAAATCCGTTGTCGGGGAGCCAACAACCACCACTACTGTGAGGGCAATGAGTAAGAACCAAATCTTGCTCGAAATCAACGCGAGCATTGCGGCCATGCTTGAATCAAACCGAAGTTACTTTTCAGCTCCATCGTACATGAAGGGGTTTTTTGCTGACGGTATAATTCGGTGCCCCTTATACGACGACTTTCTGCGACCGCATATACCACACGCTTGTTTGTAACACATATATATGGGCTTTTTTGTGCGCATATATATGCGCGTTTGTAAGAAAATGGTCATATACTTGGGAATAAAACGCAAGTATACGTGACAAAAAAACGCACGTATACCGTGTAGCAGGAATGATTGTAAGTATACGTGGGAAAAAACCGCACGTATATCATGTCATAATTTTGCAACAAATGGCCGACCATATTCTACGACATGCAGAAGATATATTACAATTTTGGGTTTACAGAACGAAAGTAAACATTAAACAGATGAAGACCGGGTTTTAGGGCTAAACGAAGTAACACGGGGAAGTTCAATACAAGAAAGGGTACAACAATGATTGTTGCAATTGTTCTATATAATTTTAAACTGTTTTATTTAAATTGCGTAATTTCTACAAAAATTTCAATCATTATACAATCTCGAAAATCATGATCATTGCATTCACTTTCCACAGAATTATGGTGAATGTCCTCTTGATTATGATTACTATTTTATTTCACAGAAACTGAAATATCGAGTAAAAGCGCCGAGCAGGCACAATATCGCGTCAATCGCCTCCTTAAGGCGTCAAGTTTCTTTCAGGTTTGTTTATAATTTTACATTTTTTTACATCCTAAAGCATTGAAAATTCAAACTCACAGAGGAGAATCAGGCTTCAGTAGAGCTATACCCTGACGTGCTGTCACAACTCGACTCTGACCAGGGCATCAACAACAACAACAACAACTTTATTTGTACCTAACAGTATACAGAAATATTGGCGAGGAGTACAGGCCGCCCCAAATAACCATAGGAGCTAAACAAAAGTGGCAGCCATACTTAAGTGATTTATCTATAATCATTTGGGTCAGATAGTACACACACACACAAACACAAAACACACGCACGCATGCGCACTAAACACTAAAACAAACAAAATAAAGAAAGTTAAGGATGTCAAAGTAAAAAAAAAACAAAAAAAAAAACGAAAAGCCAGATTAATTATGGTGTTAAAATACTTTACAATTTTAAGTAGCTTTTAAGAACAATTAGCTTGAGGTTTTTCATAAAGCGTTAGAGAGGAAGAAGCTTTACATAAATAATGCAAGTTGAAGGGTAATAATGTCAAACAACTTGACAACATTTAGATCTTTAAATAAAGGACTTCATTGTTCATTATAAATAGTGAAAGTCATTATTCTTAATAGAAATTATTCTCAAGAAGGCAAAAAAAAACTTAAGGCAAAAATTTACAAAAAAATCAGTTTGATATTGAGGGCAGTTATAAAAATACCAAACCTCGTTACCACCAAGGTCCGGAAGGCATTGGATCCAGTTTGGTTGTGGTTTGCGGCTTTTGATGAAACCCACTGCTCAGTACATTCTTGATAATCGAAATCAGTGTTCGTAATAAGCTGTAATGGGACCTAAAAGTTACCATGATGCTATAAGTGGCCGAGTTCTCATTGTACAACTTATTTTTGCATGAGCCCCTAAAGAAAGTATTGAGTGAGTCATTCAGGCTCATGAGCGAATGATTTCGTCACCTGCGGCTCAAACTGACTTTCTGCAAATACTGTTGTGAACATAGATAGAGATGTGTGGTCTCCAATACTGAACTCATGAACGGTTTGGCCCCACCACATATATATAACCAATGCCACGTTTTCCTGTTTTCTACGACGTGCAGAAGATATATTACAATTTTGGGTTTACAAAACGAAAGCAAACAACAATCATTTGAAGACCGGGTTTTAGGGCTAAACGAAGTAACATGGGGAAGTTCAATACAAGAAAGGGTACAACAATGATTGTTGCAATTGTTCTATATAATTTTAAACTGTTTTATTTAAATTGCGTAATTTCTAAAAAAAATTCAGTCATTATACAATCACGAAAATCATGATAATTGCATTCAGTTTTCACAGAATTGTGGTGAATATCCTGCTGATTATGATCAATATTTTATTTCACAGAAACTGAAATATGGAGTAAAAAGGCCGAACAGGCACAATATCACGTCAATCGCCTCCTTCAAGCGTCAAGTTTCTTTCAGGTTTGTTTAAAATTTCAGTTTGCATAGACCAGGGGCACCCAGAGACTGGTTTCTCCCAAATACCTTAAAACTTGTGTAAGACCATCAAGACTGCTAAGTTAATCTTAACCATACATTCTAAAATAGCCAGCTTTCTTAACATTTTTTCTGTACGGTTATCCCGGACAAATTTAGCTTTTGAAATTTATTAGGGTTTCTCATTATTACGTTTTGGTTCCTGATCACTTAGCTGTTGTTATGGTAACGTATTACGAAAACGAGGGATTTTCTGATACCTCTGTAACCGAAGTCACGCGTATTAGTGTCCAACCGCTTTATTTTATAAATCACACTCCTACGGTACTGTACAACCAAAAATACAAAGAATACGAAATTACGAAAAATGTAGAAATCAGTACAAAATAACAAATACATCAAAGAAAACGGAAAAGCGTACAAATGGCGTATGACTAAAATTTACCTTAACGGTTTCTTGACTTAACGTTAAAAGGAATGAGCTGTTCTTGACCGATAAAAACTGTAAAAAACACTGACCGACAAAACTAAGTTTATACCAAAAAACTTGACAGATTACGTAACATTACGCAACGGTGGTGACACCAAAAAGAAAGTAAACAATATAACAAAAGAAAACTATAAACAATTACAACTAATTGCAAGTAGACGCGAACAAAAAAAACAAAGAAAACCCTAAGTTCTAGAAGTTTCGCTTTAACAACCTCTTTCCGTGCCTATTCTCGAAACCAAAATTTAGGTGTTCTTTCTAGCAAACATGCTGGCCACATCTGGAAAGTGATATGTCAGCTTCCAAAAATCGTATATAGGGAAGTTGAAAACAATAGTTCAAAACGTATATAGATGAATGGAACAATCATCTAGAAATTTTCAGCCTTTCTTAAGCTATAGAAATTGCAAGGCAATAGTTTTTCTTTTCCAAAAGATGTTTTACAAAATACAGTCGTTGGGTTCCTATGAAAGAATCCTGCTGAAGGCCTTTCAATTCGTGTCAATAGTTTATTTCACAGAAACTGGAATATCGAGTAGAAAACACCAAGCAGGCACAATGTTCGTTATCCGCCTCAAGATGACTGTGGCTTACCAACAGTTAGAATTAGATCTGAATTTCTCTATCAACATCCTGTAAAAACCGTACTTCTCTTACGGAACTGCTCACGCCCTCCGCGTTTCAAAAATAGTATAAAAGCATGGTCCAATTAAAATGTGGAAAAGTGAAAAAGGGAGGAGAGAAAGTGAAAAATTGTTTTTCGTGGTAGAAAGAGCTATTTTGCCTTTTTTCCTTATTAAATATGCACGATTTACGAGCCAAGAATCAATGAGCCAGGATTTGAACAATTTGTTGGACAATGAAAGCGGCAGCCAGTAGAACTTGCATAATTACGTAACGACTCAGTGACACCATATATCAACCAATGAATACTTTTCTCAGTTTTTTGTCAAGAAACAAAAAGAAACTGGCCTCCATCGACCTAGAAATTACCAGAAAACCTGTCCAACGGGTTGAGTCACCTGACATAGCGCATGACGTTATCTCAGTGAAATTCCTCGGTGTTTTACTAATGGGATAAAGACAAAGGGTTATGACGTCATCAGCGTTACTGCATTCCTCCACAAGTGAATGCGATTTCTCCACAAAAAGGGGTTCATTTCATCTCTACTATACTACTGATAATATCGCAGAGAGGAGACGTTAGTCTTTATTTTCTAACATAGGCACGCTTAACGTCCACGAGCTATTTTGAATGCTTTAGTGTAATCGTATCAACAATCTACTGTTTTAATCCTTAATGTAGATTATTTTTTGTGCGAAATTTGGTATTGTTGTACATGAATGAAAACGCGAAACGCTGCACACAGCTGAGTCGATCCTCATACTACAGATTCACTTTTCTTAGTCTTTCCTTCGGACATCTGGTGCAAAATAAACAAATTGTTAAAGTACTATGATTATCAACTCACCAAACGTTGCTTAGAGGGAAGACTCAAAAGTCCGAATACCGAATAGCTAAGAAATGTCACGATTTTCATCATTGTTGTAGTTGGTTGCATCATGATTCTTCACGAGGTTGTCACGTGCGATTCTACTTTAACTTAAGGCACTAGTTACAAAACTAAAGAGGTCTTCATTTGTTCAAGTTACTATTATTACTGCAAGCTGAAGCAGTATTTTGGAAAACGCTTTGCCACCACAGTTAACACAACGATAACGAAAGCACAAGAGCAGGTCATCTCCCATGTGGAGCCTTCGCACAAACAAGCAAACTGGGTATGCTGTCCTGAAATTTTGAACATTTACCCAACTGTCTATCCAGTGTGCAACAACAAAGACTGTCACAAGAAAATTAGTGAAAACCCTGGGTCCAAGATTGTTCGTTGTCTACACTGTAACAGAGCAATGCTTCTGAAGAACTGCTATATTGAAATGAACGTTAACTTTCATCTAGAAAAACAGGACAAGCACTTTTCAGTGACAGCATTTCCAAAGATTGTGGGGAACTTCCTCCAAGAAGACATCTTGCAGTACAAAGACAACATTGACGATCTAACTGAGAAATTGCTGTTGCTCGAAAATGTAGATTTTGAGCTTTCTCAGAACAACAAACTTGTTATAAGTATGAAAGCCCATGCCTCAACTTCACAGGAAAAGTGAACAGCTAACTGTCTGGTAAAAAAAAAACTGTTAAGTTGAACAGACACTAGTGAAAATTTAACAAAAGAGTACAATTTATGATATTAGAGTGATTTTGCTTGGCCCGTGAAACACTATCTGACAGTCAGTGCGTAATAGTCAAAACTTAACAAAAGAAAGCAATGGAATAAGTGTGTAATACTAACTCATAGTGTAGTAACTATTTACGGGCCAAATAAAAACACTCTGACCACAGTCGTTTCAAGTGATACCGTTAAAAAACTTGCTTGCTTGCTTGCTTATTTCGAGCGAACTCGAACTCCATTAACTAGCTTCATCCATTCCTTCCGGTTTTCCATGATGTTCTTCAGTTCAGCTATGCTCAAACCAGTATCATTTTGCAGCTGGTCTACGTATGTTAATGCTGGTCTTCCTCTCTTTCTTGCGCCGTGCTTTGGTTCCCAGAGTAGTAAATCACTTATCACCTCATCCTTTTTTCTCCAACAGTGTCCTATAAACCGCAGCCTCCTGATCATCAGTGTATCTGTAATCTTAGGAAGATTGCCGTACAGTTCTTTGTTGGTTTTATGCTCCTTCCAGGAAACTCCAAGAACTGCTCTGAGCATTCTTGTGTACGTACCATCTAGTCTATTCATCATCTTTCCAGTCATCGTCCAGCATTCAGCACCATAAAGCAGTACACTTTCAACTGTGGCCCGAAAGAAACCTATTTTGAGATGATTTTTTAGGTTTGATTTCCACACTTTCATCATTTTGTTGAGTGCACTCCAAGCGTGTCCAATTCTTATATTCATGTCCTTTTCACCGGATTGTATCCACGAACCAAGGTATTTGAAGTTATCTACTTGCTTCAATTTGTTCCCTGCCAGTGTGACAAGATCACCTACAGGTTGATTGTACAGCATGTATTCCGTTTTCTTGTAGTTAACATGCAGACCCACTGTTTTCGCAGCAACCTCCAGTCTTAATAAGAGAAGTTGTGCCTCTTCAAGATAGTCAGAAATTAGGGCAAGATCATCCGCGAAATCAGTGTCGGTGATGTATGTTGCTACATGACGGGAGCTCTGCCGTGGTGTAAGAGTGAACCCAGTGTGTGTTTCTCTAGTAGCTTCTCTAAGGGCATAATCCAAGGCTATGATAAATAGGAAAGGTGCGAGTGTGTCTCCTTGCAGAACTCCCGCAAGAATTTCAAAGAATTCCGTATCACCATCAGGAGTTATCACCTGTGCTTCGGTGTCCTTGTAGAGTATGCTGATGGCATCCACTATCTTTGTTGGAATTCCATATGCCTTCAAGATCTCCATCAATTTCCCACGATGTATCGAATCAAAGGCTTTACTGAAGTCTACGAAAGTCAATATTGCAGGAAGCTGTTTTTCTTTTATTCCCTCTATGAGCCTACGCAGAGTTAAAATTTGCGGTAGTGTAGATCTACCCGTACGAAATCCATTTTGGTTCACCCTGAGCAGAGGATCCAGATGAGGTCTTATTCGATCTAATAGAATCTTGTTATAGATTTTCGCAGCTGTGACAGTTAGGGATATACCACGATAGTTTCCTGTGTCACCCAAGTCACCTTTCTTTGGTAGGGGTATTATTCCACTTTTAACCCATATATTCGGTCGATCACCATTGAATGTTTTGTTGCAGATGTCAAGCAATTGTTGATTTAAGGCACCAGTTTTCCAGACTTCAATTGGTATGTTGTCGAGACCATGTGCTTTGTTATTTTTGAAACCTTTGATACTTTTAACCAGTTCTTCCATGGTTATGTTATCCGTGTTGATGGGAAGAGGTTCATGTATTATGGAAGCAGTTGGTTTTATTGTGACACTGGGTGGTTGACCTAGCAGGTTTGAGAAGTGTAACTTCCATTTACTGACACGGTCTTCAGGACTTTTGGCTTTTATTCGACCCCTGTTTGTGCCCTTTCTTCTTGTGAACTCGTTTACCGTTTCCCATGCAAGACCGGATTTTTGGTGTTGTATAGCGTCAGTAATTGCATGAATCTTTTCATTCACATACTTCTCTTGTTCTCGATCGTAAGATTCCTGTAGCTCTTGCTTGGCCTCCTCCAGTTTTACAGCACTGCTTCTGGTATTTCTTCTCAAGGATACCTCATAAGCATTCTTCACCATTTCCCTTTTTTCTATGATGTTTTCATTTTCCCACGGAACGTGTTGCTTTATCTTGGCCTTCACAGGTACACTGATTTCTGCAGCTTTTTCATGGGCTGTCATGATATTCTCATACATCTGGTTTGCATCCTCATTACCATGTAAGTCCTGTAGAGTTTGGTATCGGTTGCAGACTTCAACAGTATACATGTCTTTGATGATGTTATCATTGAGAAGCTTGTTCCAATCGTATCTGATCTTTTTCTTACCAGATGGTTTACTTTGCCGCAGGCTTAGTCTTATTTTAGCTGTGACAATACGGTGATCAGATCCCACAGAACAGAAGGTGTTATAAGCTTCACAGTTTAAAGCACTATTTTTCCATTTGTTGTTTATTAGGATATAATCTATTTGACATTTGGCTCCAGAAGGTGATGTATGAGTCCAAAGCTTACCTTCGCGCTTTTTAAAACTGGTGTTCAGCGGTTTGAGATTGCATTCTAACATGTAGTTTAGGAGCAATTGCCCATTCTCGTTGGTGTGTTTGTTGTAGACTGACCCCTTAGCATCACTTGCACCAATCTTTCCATTCATATCTCCGCCAATTAGTAAGACATTGTGTTTAGGAACAGCCTTAGTCAATTCTGATAATTCTGCATAGAATTCCTCTCTGTCATCAACGTTAGATACATTGGTGGGGCTGTAGCAGGATATGACAGTAACAGCAGGATTTCCATTGAAAGTGGCAATGAGAATCCTTGGATTGATGGTTTCTACCGAGTTCAGTTCAAACTTAATAAGCTGATTTAACTTACCCCATGAAACAATATCTGTTAAGTGCATAATAGTCAAAATTAAACAAACAAAACAATGGAGTAGTAACTATTTCGCGGACAAAGAAAAATCACTCAAATTTGTTTTGTCCTTATTGTTAGCTTTTTTTGGTAAATTTCTGGCCTGATTAAAAAAAAATTCTCCAAAAGGAAATAACAATGCTATTATAATACAAAATATTGTTAAAAAGAAGTAGAAGTAGATTGCATGGTTGTAGTGACTTTATATTTCCTTCTTTAGGCCTAAATAGATAGATTGCAGATAATTATATTTTATACCAATACATTGTACATGGTTACAACTGATTATTGTTGTTGCAATGGTTATTGTCAGCAATGATTTTTCCCAAAAAGTCAATAACACACAAATTTATTAACTTCCTGTTACACAAGTATTAATTGTACAATTGAAATAGATTTATATTGCCTGATTTATAGATAAATATACTGCAGATGATTATATTATTATAGATTTATACATTGTTGCAAGATTGGTTATTGTTGTTGTTATGGTTATTATAATGATTTTTCCCAACAATTACTCAAATTTTTAACGTACAATACATTCCTGTTACACAGAATATTAACTTTACAATTGAAATACATTTATATCAACTGATTTATGGATAATATATTGCAGGTAATTATACATACAATACGTTGCTGTTTCACAAAACAAGACTGTATGACTGTAATAGATTTCAATGTCAAATTTACAGAGAAATATGCTAACCAGTTACAATATGGATGTTAACTTCAATAAATATTCAAACGTTTCTTTTTGAACATTCGTATGCACAGTATTTATATCCAGTAAAAACCATATACAGGTGTTAAACAGATCTTCAAAAACGGGGGCAGCTCTAGTGAAAACTATTACTAGTTATAAATAGTGTCACGTTTGTAACCGATGATTTCATTTTCGCGAAAATGGAACGCATTACAAAATTACTGGACAAGAACGTGTACTCATTTATCCTTTTACGAGCCAGATATTTTGCATAAACAATGACATCATGCAAAGATTAACTTATGACGAAAAAAATCGAGATGAACTTTTACAGTATAGTGCAATCAATTTTACATCTCGGAAAAATGGCTCGAACTTCCCAATATACGATGCGATTTTTGCGATATTTGTCACGGGTGTTTTCAGCCCGCAAGAAAAATCCTTGTTACTTTGGCGATTTTTGCGATATTTGCGGACATTTCGGGGCCCGTCTTGGCTTCTTTGCTCAGTCTAAGTCTGGAATTTTGTTACATTTGTTATTTTTGCGATATTTGCGATATTTGTCACGGGTGTTTTCAGCCCGCAAGAAAAATCCTCGTTACTTTTGCGATTTTTGCGATATTTGCGGACATTTCGGGGTCCTTCTTGGCTTCTTTGCTTTCTAAGTCTGGAATTTTGTTACATTTGTTATTTTTGCGATATTTGCGATATTTGTCACGGGTGTTTTCAGCTAGCAAGAAAAATCCTCGTTACTTTAGCGATTTTTGCGATATTTGCTGACATTTCGGGGTCCTTCTTGGTTTCTTTTTTTTGCAAGTCTTGATTCTTGTTAGATTTGTTATTTTTGCGATTTTTGCGATATTTGTAAGTGATTTTCTTACATAATTTTTTCTCAATAATTTCTTTTGCGACAAAGGCGAAAACAATTTGCTAGCAAATTTTTGCTAACAAGATCGATCCTGGACATAACTGGTCAACAATGCAACCATAATCTTCCACAAAATTCCAAATGAAACCTTTAATTTGAACTTAAAGTCACGTATTTCAATTCGAAAGGAAGTGGAAGTAAAAATACACAGGAACCGGAAATAAAAAGAGTTTCGCTACACTGTACACACGGGATGTTTGCATAACTGCATTTTGGCGCGAAAAGCTGATTTCCCTTTCCGTTTTCTTCTCCTTTTAAAATGAATCATGTGAACCCAAAACTATTTTTCCTTAAATTAGGTCCCTAAAAGGGATGTTTAGGCAAAATAATAAAAAATTCGATTTTTTGACGAGTGTCTTGCGATTCTCGATTTTCTCAGATAATGGCTCTTAACTGCTTTTAAATGTGAGTAGCTTTATTTTGACGATCGGCCGAGTAACCGAAATCTTTCGTAAGTGTGTGTTCATGGGTAAGTCCATTTAACCGAAACAGAATGTTTCATGGAATCACAGCTACGATAGCATCAGCTGAATTTACAACTTTAAATGACACCAGACCAGACCACAGAGTCGTTACGTATAAGAAAAATATTTATCATTTTGAAGAAAACCTTAATGTTTCTAACTGGCTTCCTTGTTTTTTTTTTATTTAAGATTAACTCTATTTCCGTAGAACTATTTGCTAATTATTCTGGTCTTCTTTTTTTACCTGTTTAAGTTTCAGGAAAAACCCATATGGTCAAGGTTCAAGAAGCTATTCACCATGGCATGATTGCCGCAGATTTTCTTTCAAACACTAAACGAGTTGTCCAGGCTATCGAGCTGTGGAACGAGTGCTTAATACTACTAAACAACACAACCTTAGAAAACGAACATGAACTTGCCACAATAGTGCGTATAGCGCTGAACAAGAGGCTGTTTTATGGAAATGCTGCTATTACGAAACTTTCACCAGCTATAGAATCTGGCAAAAAGCTTTTAGTCCTACTTCGTAATCTTAGGAGAAAAAAAGAAGAAGGTAACACAGCCTTGATGTTATCAAAACTGTACTTCCAAAAAAGTGATTACCAGGAAGCACAAGCAGTCCTCAAAATTGCACTCTGCGTTTACAAAGAAATCGAAGACAAAGACGGAGAAGCGTCATACTACGGAAACCTAGGAAATGTGTTTGAATCTGTCGGAGAATATGCCAAGGCTGAAGAATATCTTCATAAAGCACTTACCATCAACACAGAAATTGGCAACAGAAAGGGAGAAGCGTCATGCTACGGAAACCTAGGAGTTGTGTTTGCAAATGTAGGAGAATATGGCAAGGCTGAAGAATATCTTCATAAAGCACTTACCATCAAGACAGAAATTGGCGACAGAATCGGAGAAGCGACATGCTACGAAAACCTAGGAGCTGTGTTTCTATCTGTCGGAGAATATGGCAAGACTGAAGAATATCTTCATAAAGCACTTACCATCAACACAGAAATTGGCGACAGAAACGGAAAAGCGTCATGCTACGGAATCCTAGGAAATGTGTTTCAATCTGTCGGAGAATATGCCAAGACTGAAGAATATCTTCATAAAGCACTTACCATCAACACAGAAATTGGCGACAGAGAGGGAGAAGCGTCATGCTACGGAAACCTGGGAGCTGTGTTTGCAAATGTAGGAGAATATGGCAAGGCTGAAGAATATCTTCATAAAGCACTTACCATCGACACAGAAATTGGCGACAGAAGGGAAGAAGCGACATGCTACGGAAACCTAGGAAATGTGTTTGAATCTGTCGGAGAATATGCCAAGGCTGAAGAATATCTTCATAAAGCACTTACCATCAACACAGAAATTGGCGACAGAAACGGAGAAGCGTCATGCTACATAAACCTAGGAGTTGTGTTTGAATCTGTCGGAGAATATGGCAAGGTTGAAGAATATCTTCATAAAGCACTTACCATCAAGACAGAAATTGGCGACAGAAACGGAGAGGCGACATGCTACGAAAACCTAGGAAATGTGTTTCTATCTGTCGGAGAATATGCCAAAGTTGAAGAATATCTTCATAAAGCACTTACCATCAACACAGAAATTGGCAACAGAAAGGGAGAAGCGTCATGCTACGGAAACCTGGGAGCTCTGTTTGTACATGTAGGAGAATATGCCAAGGCTGAAGAAAATCTTCATACAGCACTTACCACCAACACAGAAATTGGCGACAAAGACGGAGAAGCGTCTCGCTACCTAAAGCTAGCAAACACATCTCAAGCCTTATCGGATCTCTGGTCAAGCATTCAAATTTACGAAAAAATGCTTACTTCTCTAGGAAGCAAAGATAGCCACAATATATCATTTTTTGACAAGAACGCGTCTCCCTATCGGCTGTTTTGTTCATTGAGTTGTTCTTGTGGGTAACCCTATGAAGCTTTACACGCTGCTGAACTCGGACGGGCCAGAGCTCTAGCAGAACTTATGTCAAATCGCTACTCCATTGAAAAAGAAATATCCATCAACCCACAATCGTTTGTTGGCATCGCGGAAGTAATTAAGAAAAATGGCAACAGCACCTGCCTCTACATCTCCTATGACTACGATGACAATATATTTTTGTGGGTTTTGAAACAAAACAAACCGGTAGCTTTCCGAAGAACGAAACTTTGTGAAAGCTATGTTAGCAAGCATGGCAAAATCTCTGTGTATGACCTGTTTGGAAACGAAAGCTTATTAAGAAAATTTCACGTTTTACCTCAAGAGCAATGCGAAGACCGATCACTCTTCTCTTCATTCGCCAACCAACTTACAAACGAATCAAATCTGGAAGATAGTCTCTCAACCTCGCGTCCTCCTTTAGATGAGGGAGAAGTATACACGGACCCTGAACCGCCAACACTTTTTCAGGTTTACAACATGTTGATTGCTCCCGTGAGTGACTTGCTAGAAGGATCTGAAATCATTGTTGTTCCTGATCGCTGCTTCTTCCAAGTTCCGTTTGCAGCATTACACGATGAAAGTAGCCGCTATTTATCAGATTCTTTCAGGATACGAATTGTCCCTTCTTTGACGACTCTCAAGCTTATTCTGGACAGTCCAGCCGACTCTCACAGCGAAACTGGTGCATTGATTGTGGGTGAGCCAAGAGTGACGGATGTGTATTTCAAGGGAGTGTTAAGGTATCTCTGTCCATTGCCTGGCGCGAAAGGGGAAGCAGAGATGATTGCGAGACTACTACCTGAATCTCACCTTTTAATAGGAGAGCAAGCAACAAAGCAGGCTGTTCTTCAGAGAATACCCTCAGTGAGCCTCGTACATTTCGCTGCTCATGGTGATGCCGAAAGAGGAGAAATTGCTCTTACCCCCGCTGACTCCACAGTGGAGTTTCCACACGAAGCAGACTACTTACTGTCAATGACCGACATTTCACAAGTTAGACTGTCAGCCAAACTGGTGGTCCTTAGTTGTTGCCATACCGCACGTGGACAGATCAAAACAGAAGGCGTTGTTGGAATCGCTCGAGCATTCTTAGGATCGGGTGCACGCTCAGTGTTGGTGGCATTGTGGGCCTTACAAGACAGAGCAACAGAGGAGTTCATGGGAAGATTCAACGAAAACCTTGTCCAAGGGAAAAGTGCAAGCGAAAGTCTTCACCGAGCCATGAAGTGGATGCGAAATAACGGTTTCTCAGAAGTGAGGCAGTGGGCACCTTTCATGCTGATTGGGGATGATGTGTCATTTCACTTTGGTGAAGAAAAGTGAAGGTAATTGTTTTCTGACAATTAGGGCCATAAGAAGTCTGCCAGGTCTTTTTGTATTACAGTTTTATCAACTTGGGTGCATTTGGTACTTTTAAGTACCAAATAGGAAGCAGTATTTACCCTTAAAAGCCACATTATTGACTACACCTGAGGTTAGTTGACTGAGGTAAAATATCAATTAACCGCTTTTTAACATCGAAGATACTAAACACCGCAATTATTCTACCACACTTCTGTACTTATCAATCTAAATTACAACCCGTGCATATGCGGGGCTTTGCATGTGAAAAAAAAAACAAAACAAAACACTAAAGCCCCGAATCCCTACAGTAACACAGAATGATTTAATTCTTTTCTCTCTTTCCTGATATATAAGGCACAAGTAATTGAATATTCTTTTATTTGCTACGGTTCAATATGATCGTGAGGGTTTGCTGACAAACGTTTTTCTTTCTGAATATAATAGGAAGAGAATTCCAGTTATGAATCCGAACCAAACAGCCCAGGGAAGGTTTTTGTTTGATATAAAGATAATCGGATCAAAAATATTATGGCGGAGATCTAGATCTCAGAATTGATCGAAAACACTGCAAAGTACAAATTATGGACTGTCTATGGAGCCTTGACCGTCGTTAGAGGGCTTTTCGCGGAGACTGACTGAATTACAGTAGTACACTGGTTCTAAACTTGCACCAAAGAGGGAAGACCGAGATTTCATAGGTCATCAAGGCAAGAAGTTTCAAACCTATTTTAACTGTGCACCCTGCTTTATGCCAATAATTGGAAAATTTTAGCGGTGAGATAAACTTAAATAAGAAACCTCTTCCGTCACGATAAAGCCGGAGGATCCCTCTTCCATGTAAAATGAACCTAAATGCTACTTACCCCAGCTGGAGTCTTTTGTGATGAGTAGATGTGTTTTTCTTTTAATTTTTATGTTTCTTATACATTACTGTTGCAGGTATTACACTAACGACACACCATGGAATAACGAAACAGCCCTTCCGCAGAATTCCAATGAGGTAATCCCTGGCGGAAAATGTAAAGGGTCAACTCTGCAGCATACGAACATTAATTTAAAAAATTAAAATAGAACTGACTTGGTTAGCCCAGCTGTTCATCTTTGCCGACTTAATTATTTTTCCCCCTAATTTTATTTTGTGTGTGTGTGTGTGTAGGAGGTACCTTGAGTACTCTAATCTCTAAAATGTCTTGCAAAAGCACAAATCACCAGCTTTCTAAAAGTGTACATCGTTAGCTCGGACAATGATAAAACTGTAATTGCGACACGAATAACATCAGGATTACCTAATTTCCCTGTCTTTCTAAGTAATTTGTTAAAAAAAAACCTACTTCCTTAATTAGTCCCTAAGGCTACAACTAAAAAAATACTTTTTATGTAAACGAGATTTTTTATCGCAAATTGAAGTTTGATTACAATGCAAACAACATTGCAAGGTTTATAGTTTAGTAGAATCTTTTTGTAAACATAGAAGCAGTAGTTTTGCAACCTTGCATTATGAAATAAGGTTTGACGACTCAATTAAGTCAAATAAAAGCCTAGCGAAACCAATTTGTCCTAACTCCAAACCAGCCCAGTTGTAAAGTAAAGGTTATTTCATTGTATAATGTTCATGCCTGAGCATAGGTTAGTATATATGTTAGTATAGAAGAGTAGTATTTGCTTTAAGTATCCACCTAAAATGCAAAGATTTGGTGGTCCAGTTTTCAGTAGTGCTTTGAGTAGGAAGACTAATTTTAGTAGTTCGAACAGCATGTCGCGTATCCGAGAAGGTCGCACATGGAGGTTTGATTGTAATCTGTATATATGTAATCTCACCAGGTTTTTAAAAATAAAGCGTATTTGACAAAGCAAATTCGTGTTCATCCTTAATTATCTATTTGCTCTTTAACAAAAAATATTTGCTATAATATCAGAGAGATTTAGAATCTATTCAGGTCAAACGGCAACGTCAATTTTACGTGACCAAGGTATCAGTCTTAAAAAATAAACAAGTAAAATTATAATTTGTAATTTGTTTTCCCACGGAGTACTTAGAAGTTGTTAAGAACTCGCGTAAACGTGCCCGTGCGTTGCGGATCGATTTGGAATTAGGAAAGGTTGGTTTTTGGAGAGAGGGGAAAACCGGAACACCCAGAGAAAAAGCTCTCGGCAAGGAAGAGAACCAACAACAAACCTACCCTTTCATATACCTGAAGCATGAAAAAAGTACCCCTTTCAGTCGGAGCCTCCCCATAAAGGCCATTATAGGGAGTACCAACCACCCCCCCC